CTGAGACTATGCCTTCTGGGGCCTTCCCCAGCTCAGCATGCTGCTCCTGCCTGACTTTTCACTGTGCTGTCCAGTCAGGTGCATAATGAACACCACCCATTCCACCCCAAACCCAATATTCCCACTGTTACATTCTTAGGAATTATTTAAAGGGCTTAGGCCATGGAACATCGTCCATCTGAATTCCATGATAGTGGTAATCATAGATTAGCAAAATGTGAATTGGTGTCCGCGTTGAGTGACTTCAGTTGAACTTTCAGAAATTTCACGTAGAGATACATTAGCATCTATAAATTGTCTGACGATGGGAACAAATGGCTGCTGAATTTTAATTCAAAATATTATTAAAATACTGATCAAATTATCACTACAATTTAAAGTGTTAAAAAGAAGAAAAACACATTCTAGACTTTTGAAGTCTTCAGTCCTATTCTTTTACTATCCTCCTGACAGTTTATTTAATTACCGAGACAATGTCTTATTCACTGCTGGAGTACAGTGGTGCAATCATGGCTTACTTCAGCCTCGACCTCCTGGGCTCAAGTGATCCTTCTACCTCAGCCTCCTGAGTAGCTGGGACCACATGTGTGTGCCAACACACCCACCTAGTTTTTTTTATTTTTTGAAAAGACAGGGTCTCACTATATTGCTGAAGCTGGCCTCAAACTCCTGGGCTCAAGCAGTCCTCTCGTCTTGGCCTCAAAGTGATTACAAGCATGAGCCACTGTGCCCAGCCTTCATGACAATTTTTAAAGATGTGTATCCATGAAACACAAGGTTACTGATATTCAGATGTGTTTATAAGGACCACCTTTAATTCTCCCTAACAAATGCTTTGGGTGTTTTTAAGACTTAAAATGTCAGTCATATATTGTATTATTGAATTCTAGTATTTCTGGTATTTAATACATTATAGTAAGAGCTTTCAAATGGAAGCCCAGGATGAAAAATGTTGTATTTTACTTGTTAAAATTGCAATTTCACATATTTGCTTATCTGCACATTATCTATAGTATTTTTTAGCCTCATCTTAATATTTCTGAAATCATTTACATATGCTATTTTTATAAATTACATTAAATACAATTTAAAATCCATAGTATATATAAAATAAATATGTAACCATATTTGAATTCTCTCTATAATCATCCCAAATACCGGTGACAGCCATATTTTGGGTTACAATGAATAATAACAAGAATTTGAACTTTGGGGTGAAAAGCCTTAGATTCTAGCCTTTTCATCTTAAGTTCCTTTGTAAGGTTAACTAGCACTGAACCTCATTGTTTGTGTCTGTAAAACTAAAATAATCATGCCTCTGTACTATAGGCGAGAAAATATCTTTGAAAATATTTTGGGCCAGGTGTGGTGGCTCACACCTGTAATCCCAGCACTTTGGGAGGCCACAGCAGGCAGATCACTTGAGGTCGAGATCAAGACCAACCTGGACAACGTGGCGAAACCCCACCTCTACTAAAAATACAAAAAGTTAGTCAGACTTGGTGGGGCATGCCTGTAGTCCCAGCCAGTGGGGAGGCTGAGGTGGGAGGACCACCTGAGCTCGGGGAGTCAAAGCTGCAGTGAGCTGTGATCATGTCCCGGCTCTCCAGCCTGGGAGACAGGAGTGGGACTCTTGTCTCAGTATATATATATATATATATATATATATATATATATAGTAATAGTATAAAGTCCTATCAAATGAAACCTCTTTTTTGGATAGTGGTCTTCCTAATGGCATTACCCTCCTCCAATATTCAGCTTGGAAACTAATATTCCAGGGCTTACTGAAGGTATAGTTAACTAGAGTAGAGGCTGCAGTTGCCAAGACAATCTTCCTATTTCCTCCTCAAGGAAACTGACATCCTTTCCCCAAGTTCAGCCCCTCCCCGGTGCCCGGAAAGCCAGTGCCAGACCATCCATCCATGCTGTCCCATTTGGAGGTAGGGCTCGGCCAGCCCAGCCCAGCCCAGCTCTTGGCTTCCCCATCGTTGGATCCTTGGACCACCTCTGTACAGAGGAAAAACACCCAGAGTGAAGAAAAGGAAACAGGTGGTTCAACTTCCTCTGCTTGAGGTCCAGGAAGGAGCAAATCTGGGCCCATCAGTGCATGTAGCAAGAACAGAGGAACCCCACTGGCTTTCAGTCCAGCTTCATCTAATAGAGACTAAGTAATTATGTGCTTTGTTACAAGAAAAGTCAAGTAGCTAATAAACAGCAGAACCAATATTTTAAAATGTCATCTCTCTTCCAGCTTGCTTTAATTTAGGCTGAGTAGGCTGCATGTCCTCAGGCCCTAGAAGACAGCTTTTGAGCCATAGACAGAACCACAGAAAGATCCAGTGTCTCCTAACACACCCCTTAGTGTTGTGTGTCTGTTAAGTCACTGGTGACCAGAGACATAAGGCTCCTGCAAAACAGAGAAAGCCAACGCCACACACTTCTCTATGTCCCGCTTCCAGTCCCCACGCCCCTCTCCTGACAGACATTCTCCCGGCATCCCTGACCTTCTAAAGCTGACTTTCAAAGTACCTGTTTCTTGAAGCCCTTTCCTGGCCAAACCAGCGCCATTGTGTTGGCTCCTTTCCTCTGCAGCTCCTTGTCCCTTAAGCACCACAAATGTCACAAACTCACTTGCCCTTTAACTGTTAAGTCACTTGCGCAAGTTAACTTGACCCCAGCCCAACATGACAATTTTTTTTTCATGACAGTGTCTCACTCTGTCACCTAGGCTGGAGCGCAGTGGTGCAATCACAGCTCACTGCAGCCTTCACCAAGCTCAAGCAATCTTCCTGACTTAGCCCAGGAGTGCTGGGATTACACTACCACACTGGCCCCAACACTACCAGTTTTGAGGTCAGCCATGGTGTCCTACCAGAGGCTCAGCAAGTGCTGGCCAACTGACAAGTGAGTATTACCAGACCAGGGGCACAGACAGACACATGCACATAAAGGGGAGGAGAGGGTGAGCTCGGAGCTGGAAAGCTTTGTGGAGACCTGGGGTGATTCTGTCTTCCATCACTCTCCCCTTGGTCACCCAGCTCGCGCCCCAGAAAAAGCCATCATGTGCCCTGGTCTCTCTTCCTTCCCTCCTCTCCTCCTGTCCCCTGCCCCTGCTTAGCTGCTCCTCACCATTTACATGTCAGTTTAAACATCCCGTCCCACAGGAGGCCCTACCTGATCAGGTTAGGTCCCCTGTCAATTGCTCTTCAGCTCCCCCGTGCCTTGCTTCCTGAGCATTCATACTCGTCAAAAGTAATAGGCATTTCTATCATTGTTTAATGTCTTTCCCCCATTAGAATGGAAGCCCTGTGAGGTCAGGGACCACATCTGACTTGTTCCCTGCTGCCATAAGTCCCTGGGCCTGCGGTACGCCAGGCATACAGTAGGCTCTGCATCCATGTCAGATGGTGAGGAAGCCAATAGGCATGGGTGTGAGCCTGGGCTTCTTTCATAGCTTGATGAGGTGGGCGGCGGAGACCCATGTCCCTGAGACCAACTGGGATGAAAGCTCACTGCACATGTCCAGGTGACGTAAGGACCCAGCAGGTATGTGTGATAGCAAAGCTTTGCCCAGGCAACTACAGTCCCTTCGTCAGATCCCAAATTAAAGAAAAAGAATGACCCAAATCACCAACTATCAAACCCGTGTCTCTCTATCCAGGCAGGTTGGTATTGCTGCTCTTGGCTTTGTTTGCCTTCAGCCTTTTCTATCCTCGCCAGGTCAGCGGTCACATAGCATCTCCCACGTACCCGGCAGGTGCTGGGTGCTGGGTCCTTGGATGCAAAGGCACGCGAGGCCTGGCACCTGCCCACAGGGGCCTCACAGTGTTATAAGAAAGACGGCAATGTAAACAAATAATCTCGCTAGACAGGAACGCAAGCTATACCGGAGCTGTACAGGGAAAGGGCAGAGAGTGATTTGCTCTACCAAGGAGGCCTCAAAACACTTCACAGAGGTGACACCTTGACAGCTGGAATCAAGAGGAGTTTGCTAGACAGGGAAAGGGCCTTCAGAGAGAACAGGGCGTGCGGCAGTGCTGTAGGGCGGGGAGTGTGTCAGGGGACAGGCCTCGGGGCCGGCAGGAGATGAGGCTGAGAGGGGCAGGGTCCTGTCACGGGCAGGCTTGGGTCTCCACTGAGATACTGCACTTAATTCTGTGAGTCCAAAGAAAACCATGGCAGGGTTAAAGCAAATGGATGATTCCATCAGATCTGTTTCAGAAAGGTAACAGCACGATCCCAACTAGCAAAGTGCCACCCCCTATAAACATCCCGGCACCATGTCCCTGAGAGCTCTGGGAGCCAGCCTTGGAGCCAGGAAGCCTCACTGAGCTTTGGGTACCTGGCATCCAAACAGACATCCTTAAAATGAATGTCACCAAAAAAATTGAGAGGGAACCAAGGTCACACAAGGCCCTTTTCAAGGACTCTTGAAGTGGGAGAAGTTGAAACACAGGAAAGAAGAATGCAACAGTGCCCATGAGAGCGGCTCTGGGAGCATCACCTTCCCCTTTTTTGAGGAGTTTCAGGGAGCTGTTGACTTCGGAGGTAAGGAAGAGCCATAACCTGGGAGGCCACAGCCAGACTGAGAGATGCAGCACGTGGAAGGCACAGCCAGGATCTCAAGGAGAATTCTGATCATGGCCGATACCGGCTGGACGTTTAGGAATTCCCTGGGAACTGCCACAAGGCCAGTCATTCGTTCATTGAGCAAAAAGACTTAGCACCATATAGGAAAAGGGTGATACCCCAAAAAAGGATTCTAACAGCTGTGTTCAAACACTAGCGTGAATTCTCACAGAAAATTACTCTTTTAGGACTGTGGAGAAAAAAAATTCATACTAAGTACCAGAAATGCAAAATATATGACTTTCACGTAGATGTGATGACTCTTGTCATCATCGCCGTCGTCACTCTGTCACCGTCAAATTTTAAGTCAGATTCTCTTCATGAAGAACTTCAGGGTCTGGTAAAGTTAATGGTATGTCAGCGCTTACCTTATCAATAGGCAATGGCCAAGATGTAAGAAAAGCTACAGTCCAATGGCAACTGTTTCCTTCCTGTGCAGAAGACACGTGTGCTATGGGACACTAGTCTTCACCTCCAGGAGTTTGAAATCATAGACACATGCACATTAGATGTGCAAAGCAATTGACCAGTGATTTATCACAACACCACCATAGGTAACTGTCAATAAAAGTCCATTGTGTCCGGAGCTCCACAGCGATGCTGGGGGATGCCTGGTATTGCTCTAGGTACCCAGTGTCCTACCTGTGTGAGAAGTGCAGTCCCACACAGATGGCCCTGATTGGGAAGAAGTGCAGCTGTTCAGGCCCTCAGCTCGTCCCTGCGCTTCCCACCCTGTCCTTTTCCCCGATTCTTGTTGTGTCAGGTAGCACCTGCTTCTTCCTTCCCTATCCCCTCCAACAAATGGTGAGCTCCCAGAGGGCAGGGCCAAGTCTCATCCTCTCACTGTCCCAAGTGACTCACCAGGGCCTGGCATAAAGGAGCTGCTTGGTCCATACTTAACGGATGAATGGATAAGTGACTAACCTAAGAAAATTCTGCCATTAGGCATCTTGGGGATGCCTTACAAGAGAAAGGCATCGTTTACAAAAGGCTGCAAGAGGGCTCTTCACTTTACAGACCTGCATATCCAAGCCGGCCTGACCATTTCTACCCGGGGAGCTAAAACACGGAAGTTCTCAAACATGAACCTATGCTAGCATTACCAGAGGAGTCCCATTCAACCTCCAGGCTTTCTGCACAAACGACGTAGGACTGGGCCCAGGAATCTGCATTTCAACAAGCTCCCCCCTCCGACCTATTGTTCTGATTCAGGGAGTCACAGAACACACGCAGAGAACCCTTTTCAATCACCCTGAGAGCACAGACTTGGCATCAGATAGAGTCAGCTTTATCCCTGTTCTATTATATATTTACTAACTACACGGCCAAGTTGCACATGTTTTTTAAGCTCCTTGTGCCTCAGTTATTAAAAGGGGATAGGTACAAATTCATAGAGAAATAAAGTAGAATGCTTGTGGGCAAAGTGGCTCATGCCTTGTAATCCAGCACTCTGGGAGGCCAAGGCAGGAGGATCACTTGAGCCTAGGAGTCTCAGAGCAGCTTGGGCAGCATAGGGACACCTTGTCTCTACAAATAATAATTTTTAAAAAGTTAGCTGGGCCTGGTGGTGCACACCTATGGTCCAAGGCACTCTGGAGGCTGAGGCAGGAGGATGGCCTGAGCCAGGGAGGTGGAGGCTGCATAAGCCATGATGGCACCACTGCACTCCAGCCTGGGTGACAGAGTGAGACCCAAGGATTCTATTTTCAGCATCCTTGCCAAAAGTAGAATGGTGGTTGCCGGGGGATATAGAAGTGGAAGATTGTCTAATAGATACAGAATTTCAGGAATTTTTTGTTTTGCTTTTTTTTTTTTTTAGGATAGATTCTCGCTCTGTCACCTAGGCTGGAGTACAGTGGCATGATCTTGACTCACTGCAACCTCTGCTTCCTGGGTTCAAGCAATTCTCATGCATCAGCCTCCTGAGTAGCTGGGATTACAGGCATGTACCACCACACCCAGCTAATTTTTGTATTTTTAGTAGAGATGGGGTTTCCACCATATTGGCCAGACTGGTCTCAAACTCTTGACCTCAGGTGATCTACCTGCCTTGGCCTCCAAAGTGCTGGGATTACAGGCGTGAGCCACCACGGTCGGCCTCCAGAGTTTCAGTTTTGCAAGAGGGAAAAGTTCTGGAGATCTGTAGCACAATGTACATAGAGTTAACACTACTGAACTGTACACTTAAAAATGCCTAAGAGGGTGAATTGTATGTTACATGTTTTTGCCACAATTAAAAAGAGAAAGTTTTACTGGGGATGCATAATGATATCTACTTCAAAGTGTCGTTATGAGCATTACATGAAATAATGCACGTAAAGCCTCAGACAGCAGGCCCCAGACTAGGAACTGCTCAAAAAATTATAGCTATTATTATTACCGGAACAAGGGGGTTAAAAAATTTAACTATGAGGCCAGGCACAGTGGTTCCTGCCTGTAATCCCAGCACTTTGGGAAGCCAAGGAGGGCAGATTACCTGAGGTCAGGAGTTTGAGACCAGCCTGGCCAACATGGTGAAACCCTGTCTCTACTCAAAATACCAAAAAAATTTAGCCAAACACAGTGGCACACACCTGTAGTCCTAGCTATTTGGGAGGCTGAGGCAGGAGAATCACTTGAGCATGGGAAGGGGAGGTTGCAGTGAGCCGAGATTATGCCACTACACTCCAGCCTGGGCAACAGAGCGAGACTCTATGTCAAAAAAAAAAAAAAAAAAGACCAGGCATGGTGGCTCGCTGCTGTAATCCCAGCACTTCAGGAGGCCAGGGCAGGTGGATCATGAGGTCAGGAGATCAAGATCATCCTGGCTAAGACAAAAAAAACCCGTCTCTACTAAAAACACAACAAATTAACCGGGCATGGTGGCATGCGCCTATAGTCCCAGCTACTCCGGAGGCTAAGGCAGGAGAATCGCTTCAACCCAGGAGGCAGAGGTTGCAGTGAGCCAAGGTCGCGCCACTGCACTCCAGCCTGGGCGACAGAGTGAGACTCTGTCTCAAAAAAAAAAAAAAAAAAAAAAGAATAATTTACTATTTAAAGGCATTTTAAGTGAAATTATAGTCTGAAACTTCAAGCTGATAGAAGTTCTTTGTACTTTTTGAAACACTGACAGTTTTTGAGGGGAGCATTGGGCTATGAAACTTAAACTTATAATTATTAAGGCCAACTGCAGTGGCTCACGCTGTAATCCCTGTACTTGGGTAGGTCAAGGGAGGTGGATCACTTGAGGTCAGGAATTCGAAACCAGCCTGGCCAACATGGGGAAACCCTGTTTCTACTAGAAATACAAAAAGTGGCCGGGTGTGGTGGCAGGCGCCTATAATCCCAGCTACTTGGGAGGCTGAGGCAGGAGATTTGCTTGAACCTGGGAGGTGGAGGTTGCAGTGAGCCAAGATCGCGCCACTGCACTGTAGCCTGGGCAACAGAATGAGAGTCAGTCTCAAAAAATACATAAATAAATATAATCATTAAGGAAGATTTCAAACCCTCCCCAAAAATCCAAGTAGCTTTTTGATGAACTGCATTTTTCCAAATCCTGACCAATAGACTATTTTCATCTCACCTATAGATACATAGGTTAAAAAATACCACCCATATCATAGGTGGGTATGTGAGAGCCTGAGGGTGTTCACGCTAGGCAGTCTCGTTCATAACACTAACATCCTCCATTTGCAGAGAAGCAGGAAACAGAACAAAAATGCTACGTTTTGTCTTGCACCTTAAGCTTCATTAAAGAAAATCAAGCAAAATCTGCCACCATAGAAGAAATGATCTCCTGGTCTTGAAAAACTATATGAAGTGTTTTAATCTTTGATGTGCACGTGGAACCCAAAGCAGATTCGAGAACATGGTACAGACTCAAGGCCACCATTGGGATTCTCTGCGCATCGTTTTGATTTTGCGTGCATCTATGCTGATTTCATCTCCCCAGCCTATTGTTTAAGGCCCAGCAGGACAGATGTGCTGTTTTACAGGGCCATAATCCACCTGGTGGGCGGATAACCAAGAAGCCTTTGGTCTTCATCATTTACTCCAATATTTCCAAAGTAGATGATCGCGTTGTAAAACAGCAGGTGATCCAGGCCCTGATTTCCATGTAACGCCAACCTACAGGACCTCCTTGGAACTTCCAACCAAATTAGTAAAATTCCTCCTGGTCATAGAGGTGACCAAAATTAGCTTGAGGCTGAATGAAATTATGGAAAGGACAATCTGGGGGTACAAACAGTAAAAACGAGAGGGCTGGGAAGTGACTTGGAATGCAGGAGTTTAGGCCACACAGGTGTTCATATGAGTAAGAGTCGTCATTCTAAGGCTGAGAAGGTTGGGCACTGCTGGTAAAAATTCTAATCCTAGTAGGCTTAGAATGTCTCTCAATCGAAAGGTAAATTCCCAAGTGACTGCTAAGGATTCCCCCATTTTTCTTTACCTACATCCTGTGTATAATAAGTGACTACCTCTCAGCCCTCATCGCGGGGGCCCAGCACTCCGATCCCAGCAGCCCTGAGTGACAGCAGCATTGACTGCTGGGAAGTGGTACTTGTGAAATCCAAAAACGGGCTGCCATAGATGCAAATGGACCATCATCAATGTGCATTAGGATTGCCCTAATCACCTCCAGATCTCAAAGGACCCCCTGCACGCCACTCACGCCAACAGGTCGAAGCGGGGTGGATTAGAATGAAGGGCTATGATTGTAAGTAGCAAAGGGAAGGGGTGAAAAGAACACAAATAACCAGACATTAACTTTGGGTTCTGAGCATACTGCTTTCTGTCCATTTAATCTATCTTTTGCTGATGCATTTAAAGAAGCTACCTTGTCTTCTTAATCTTTGATGAAGGCTTGAAGCTCTGAGACCCAAGCATCAGCCCCACCTCTAGCTTTCCCTAGTCACATGACCTTGGAAGATCACATCTTTTTTTCCTTCTTTTACCACTCTGGGCCTCAGTTTCCTCATCTAGAACAGGGCTTAGGTTATTTGACACATTCGATGTAAGTATGGTAAAAGTTTTTAAAAAGTGAATCTGTAAAATGTGGTTATTTCAGATTTCAGAGATGGCATCCCATCTTAACATTCAACAGATCAATGATTTATTTGTTACAGACTCATGTCTCTGGTAATTTTTTTTTTTTTGAGGCAAAGTCTTGCTCTATTGCCTATGCTGGAGTATAGTGGTGTGACCTTGGCTCACTGCAAACTCCGCCTCCCAGGTTCAAGCAATTCTTCTGCCTCAGTCTCCCGAGTAGCTGGGACTATAGGCACACACCACATGCCCAGCTAATTTTTTTTTTTTTTTTTTTTTTTTTTAGTAGAGACAAGGTTTTGCCATGTTGGCCAGGCTAGTCTCAAACTCCTGACCTCAGGTGATCCACCTGCCTTGGCCCTCTGAAAGTGCTAGGATTATAGGCGTGAGCCAGCGCACCCGGCCGTCCCTGGTAATTCTAGCCGTCTTCTGTAAGTGTGTGCCAACAGACTCATCTCTTTACACTCAGTACAATCCTACCTTGCGTTTTCTCATCACCTTATCATGTTACCTCTCAATTATGTTACAGCAAAGTGGTAGGATTTTGCCATTAACCTGATGGTACAATTTTTTAAAACAATAATTAGTTGCCAGAATTTATTCCTGCTTTTAAAGTTCTACATAATATTTCAAAAATCTATAGGGAAGTATTTACATTTTCCTTCCACAGATGTTTTCTGCTTGATTTCAAGAGTTAACTGAACAGTTTCCTGTCTTGCGTCTGATGTGTTTTTCCTCTCTTTAAATTTTCCTCTCCTCTCCTTAAATCTTCCATAAAATGCTGAAGATTTTTAATTTTTTCTCCTCTTTAGGAGGAAAAAAGAAACCTCTCCTCTGTAATTTACTTTGGCTTTCTCAAAAGTTGGGTAGGAAAGTCAGTATAATTCAGGTAGAATCTAAAATGTTCTTGTTGTACGAGCGTGCACAGAAAGGAAGCCTATAATTTCGAGCATTCTTTCAGGAAGTTTGTATTCTCTGTTTTCCAGGGAGCCTTTACTTTCCAAGGGAGTATGATCGACATGCCGTTACTGAAGCAAGCCCAGAACATTGTTACGCTTGCCACCTCCATCAAGGAAAAATGATCTGTTCAATGAAGCTCTCATCAGGTGGGCTGAACATATACAGTGGGTTTCTCAAAGACAAACCACAATACTCAAGGCAACTTGTTAGTATGCCAGATTGGGACCTGACTTCATTTGCAGTTCATGTTAATCACGATTTTGTTGTTGTTGTCTTACTGGCCACTCCCCGTTTTTCCTTTTGGATCCAAGCTGATGATTTTGTCATTTTTAGTGTATTACAAATATGGGCTTATGATTTCACAGGGGGATGAGGTCGTGGGGCAAGATGCGCTGTGAGGGGAAGGTAGGTCTTGAATGAAACAGATCTTTCCCAAATAGACAGATTCCCCCCTACCCTTCTCATGTTAGCAGATGTTTCCGGCTCGTTCATTTGCACAGCTGACACCACAGACAATTTTAAGAAAGGCCAGGCCTTTAAAAAATAGTAACAACATTAAGGGGTCATGTCTGTTTCGCTGGTAATCTGATAAAACAACAGAGATGGCATCAAAAAGGTTACTAAGTATTACATTGGCTTATAAAGATACCTTCTAAAAATAAACTTTCAAAACTGGTTACTGTTAACCACCCCCAAAATGAAACATCCAACTCCTTGAACCCCTAGATGATGAGCAGGAAGGCTGTCATCCTGGGTGAAGGCTGTGGGCCAACCATTGCCGGCAATTAAAAACTAAATGTGTAGAAACACAAGATGGTCCATTCTCCCCCTTTATTTTCCCGTTTAACTGTTTGCCATTGAGGCCACTTCCCCCTGGAAATGTATGGCCGGGACAGGACTCCCTCAGTCATAAACTTGTAGCGTCTCAGAAGACACAATGCACCCGAGCTGGTGCATGTGGCCCCTGCGAGATTTGCATCACATTAGAGATGCGGCTGCAGGTCAGATGGGTGGTGTGGTTAACGGGCTTAGTAAAGCTGTTTTGAAGAGGTTAACCCAGCTTGTAGTAAGGGTAAATAAACATAACAACCAGCCATTGTTCCCTATTCAGCATGTACTCTTATATTGAAGGCTAAAGGGTATTGAAGCTGCAGAGGGATCAACTTGTGCTTGCCAGAGGACGCCAATGAAGTTTGAAACACCAACAATCAGAGATTTTGTTTCTGTTCCTCATTAAATCATGAGCTTTTGTGCCGAGACTCTGGACGACTGTTCCTTAAGAAATTAACAGAATGGGAAGTTTAAAACTCTACACCAACCTTTTCATGACCTACACAGCAGCAACGCTGCTACTCTTAGACAAACACCGCGGGGAAGGCTGTTCTGTTTATTTAAATTTGTAAATAGAAAACAGTTGTTTTTTTACTTTCATTTTTCACCTCCTCCTACGCCCTTTTGGATTATTTCCTCCGCGGCCCCTAGCGTGTGCCCCAGCCAGGGCTCTCTTCCCCACTTCCTGCAGTTCCTACAGGAAGCCCGAGAGGTGAGTGGAGCTGAGGTTAGACACCAGGAGAGGCACCATCAAATGAAAGCACGGCCGCAGAATCCCACCGCCACCAGGTGACCCCCCGCCCACCCCAGTGCATGGCAGACAGGGACAGTCATGCAGGCAGCCAGCAACACACCAGGCAAGATGGCTCTGAGGATGCCCATTCTGGAGACACCAACTCATACTCCCAAACACGGGATCCAGGAGATAGATAGCTCCTAAATGGAGATGGTACACGCTCCTTGGGGTCCCTCATTGAGTGACACCCTCCACCCTGCTTGCCCTGTGCTGCCCCAGAGTGGTCGGAAGGGAAGGTGGAAGCTAGCCCCATCCTCACTCAGAGGCCGGAAAGAGGAAGATGGCATCCTGCCAACTTCAGAGCCGAACGGCCCCCAGCCACACTGCTTCCAGACCCCAGATGGGGCAGCAGCAGCAGTTCCCAGGAACACCCCCAGCACCCATTGTTGCAGCTGGGTCCCACCCAGGATGGGAATCCTGGAATCAGGTGCTCACCAGGTAACCCAGGACCATGCTGCGAACGCGCAGTCTGCCCCTGTGCTCAGAGCACAGAGGGATGGGAGGATGGCTTGGCGGTAGGAAGGCAATGGAAGGCCTCCTCTCACCCTGACCCTGCCATACACACCCGCTCAAGGTATTAGAAGCAGCGGAGGCAGGGCTGGCCCTAAGCAAAAGAAGAAAATAAACCCTGCCTCAGCCTTTCCTATGGTCAGCCCTCACCCCAGTCTAACTACCCTTCCCATCCTCCAGGATGATCCAGAGAAGCCCTTGGCTAGAGGGGATGACAGGCCTGAATTCCAGGCTCCACCCTGGCCCCAGAAGCAGCCAGCCTGCCCCACACAGAGGGGCCTCCTCAAGGCCTCACTGACAGCCTCCCCTCCCCACCCAGGGAGCCCTACAGACCTGGGGAAAAGCAGACCCCTCCACCAGGTCCCTAGCTGGTGCCGAGGCCAGACCAGCCAGGCCTCCCACTGCTGGTCACCCCTAGGCCACGGGTTTCTAGGTCCCAACCACATGGGACTGCTTGCCACGCCCCTGCCCTCATCCCAAACAAAACCACCTTTTTTAGTCTCCCCAAATATCCAGTTGTCATCTTCCCCCTAAGCCAGTGGTCCCAATTATGGTAGGATCATGAGACGAGGTCCTATGAGAGCCACAAATCTGGACTGAAGTCCCATTCCCTGAACAGAGACCCAAATGAGGAGGGCCCGAAGAGTCCAGTCCTGGTCAGAGACCCAGAGTGCCTTAGTCCTTGAAGGACAAAACTCCAGGAAGAAGATGCTAGAAGGCAAAGGGTATTCCCCCTCTTTCCCCACCCGAATCTCTGTAGTGCCATGGGTGGGGCAAGGTACCCTGGGAAGGGTGGGAGAGCAGCCGGGGGCATGTGAGTCATCTCCACTGGGCACGCCAGACACCCCGACATGGGGAAATGAGGGCTGCCAGACTCCTGAGCCAGGCGTGGGCGACAGGAAGAGGACCTTGCAGCTAATCTGATTAATTAGAAACAATACCTGTTTATATTTTGTGTAGCTCATCACAAGCTGCTTAGCCATATCACCCCCCTGTTATTAATTCTTGGGGTCTAAATTATGGGTAACACTATTAAAACATTATCAGAACTAATGAGAAACAATTACTTAGAAAATGAGCCAGGACAAGATTGAGTTGAGAACATCAGTGGTGATCACTGTGGATTAGTTTAATAAATCATCAGGTGCAAGGCAAGACTGACTGGATGTATGCAAAGCCCCGTCACGGGAAAATGAAATTGAGATTTTTTTTTGCATAATTTTTTCATTAATCTCAATAGGACCCGTGTGGTGTAGATTGCTTTATTCCCCTAATACCTTGCCTGAGGGGGGGTGCCCAATAATGTCTTCATTGTTTTACTGAGGTCTTAATGACAATCTGTGACAACCTCATTTTAATGTATAGAGGATTATATCAATACAGTCATGTTTTATTGAAATGGTGAAGGGAACTCCAGTCAGAGTCGGGCACTGTCCGTGAGCACAAGTTGGGAAGTTTCTCGGCATCCGGGAGCCTTCCTGTCTGATGTCCTAGTGTTAGTCCACCGGCCGCCCTCCCCTCCTCTCCTGGGATGAAGACTTCACGGCCTCCAATTTGAATTTGAAAGTAACTCCTTCCCTGGCATATTTTGCTGGGCAGATAGAACAAACCATGTTGTTTTCCCCTCCCCCCGTCTCTAAAATAGACATGCTATTATTCACACTTTTGCACCCAGTCGTTTTGCGGGAGTTCGGGAAACTGACTTGGTTCGTTGGGGACATTGTCATTTTCTTATGATGCCACGAGGAGAAAAAATAATATACGGTTTTGTTTTGTTTATTTTAATCTGAAGGATTAAATCTGCTTTTATGATTTCGGTTTACCTTGGAACATTGAATCTTCCGTGTTTTCTTTCTTTCCTGTAGTACTAGAAAAGCAATAAATGGCACAAAACAGGTTCTGAGATGGCCCGCAGGCCCCGAGCTCATGGACGCGGCCGGAGGTCGAGTCTGACCCGCGGAGCCCCCGCCAGGATTCCCCGCGCATCTTCGGGGGAAGTGGGGGAGCCATGGCCAGACCCAGCATTTAGGCGTGAAAGTCTTCACCTTTCTCTCCGCGCTGTATTTCCCACGGACGGAACAGGACAGCCGAGCGCGGCCCCCACAGAACATCAGTGACTTTCCCAGACCCCGCTCGGCGCCCGCGAGTCCACGCGTGGGACCTGACAGCTCCGCGCCAGCTGGTTTTGGGGGTGGCAGTGTTCGCTCGTTTAAATTCCAGTTGTTATTTGGCAGTTTATCGCTTTCCGAATCCATGAGAATTGCCAGCGATGGAAAGAGTGACCTGCGGGAAGGGGCCGAAGCCGTTGTGAGCGCCCGGGTGGCAGCTCGAACCCCGTTTCCGCCGAGCGCGCCGCAGCCTGCTGGGCGAGTTGTCTTTTGACAAAACCTTTTGGGACTTCTTTGTCCCTCACGCCCTTACTTTTAAATGATTTTTATTTTTATTTTTCCACTATAAGTGACCGGCTGGGTTTTACTTTTGCTTTTTCCAACAGGAAGGGCACAGCGAACCGGGGTGGGCAGCCCCGCGGGCAGGAGGAGCGCTGGGGACACGCGGTGGCCGCAGACGCCGAGCCCTGCGGAGCCCCGAGGCCGCCTCCCCAGCACCCCGGGTGCGTGCGGAGCCAGAGCTGGAGCCAGGGCTGGAGCCAGGGCTGGGCCGGGGGGGCGGTGCGGTGGCCCAAGAGGCCAGGACTGTGGGCCCCACTTGCCCGCCCGCCGCGGGCCGCCCGGAGCCCGCGCGCCTGTCGCGCAGCCCGGCTGTAATGGTGGCAGATCAAAGGCAGCCCCGTGTCCCCGCGGAGCCCGGGACCATCCCGCGCCTTTGTGCGCTGTTGCTAGGAGCCCGAGAAACTAAGAGAAAGTGTCAGGAGCATGTTAATCAGACTCGTTACACTGTAACAATAACGTCTCTCTCGGGTCTCCCAGGCCCCGGCACCCCCGCGCACCCCGCGCGCAGGCCGGACACCTGCGCGGGGCCCTCGCGCCTGCCCTGGGGTCCTGCCGGCCCCGGGGTCCCTGCAGCCCCGAATCCGTGCCGGGGCCACGCGCAACGATGAGCCCGGAGAGGCCCCAAAGGCACCCGGTGCAGCAGCTCCCTGGCCGAGGTCTCCTTGACCAAAGCCCCGGCTTCACCCTGCTGGGCCGTGAGCTGGAGGGACGCAGGGGTGATCCCGGTCCCCTGCTTTTCGGTCCTCCAGAATCGCCCATGTTGTTCAATCGCAGTATTCGAATCAAGAGAAAAATGAACATTCCCTTTCTGGTAGCTTTTTGGTTATGAGTTTTTGCAAAACTCTTGAGTCAACTTTGCTGATTTCCCTTGGGAATCCCTGGAGGCTACTCTAAGTGGTAATCCCAAGTTTAAGAAGGAAGGGGGGAAACATTGCTGAGAGTAAAAACGTCCCCAAACTTTTTGAAGAGAATTGCTTTATTCATTCATTTAGTCATTCAACAAACACCTGTTGAACCCGACTGGGTGCCAGAGGGGCCAGTCTCAAAGTCACAGGACTTATTCCAGATGAACTTTTCTTTTGAAATTAGAACGCCCTTGGGGAAGTCAAAGGAGGAGCAGGGGCCTAAAATAATGTCAAGTGTCAAAGCAAAAAGAAGTGCCATTGCCGATTACAGTGTGTGGTGATAACAAGAGAGGTGCGAATTAGGAATTAAAAACCTTTGAAAAACTGCAGGCCATATGCTTTGAAACCAGCCACTTTTCCACCGCTTTCATCTCCCTTCCCCTCCGCTTTCAGTGGGCAGGAGCTCTGCCATGCTGCAGTCTCCACCCCGTCAGAGGCCTGCCTGAGGTCTGAGGAGTGAGGCCAGGCCTTCTGTTTGTACACAGCCTTTCAAACTTGCAGAGAGTCACACTCCATCCTGGCCCCATTCCCCCTTTGCCCATACGCAGAGAATTGGAACACTGTCCTCAGGCTTAAGGCTCTTGTTCAAGAACCAACCCATTCTGGAAGGGGTAGAAGGGGGCCAGACTTCCAGAGTCTAGCTGCCATACCTAAGTCACAGGACAAAGCTGGCTGTCACCAGGATAGGTATAAGACAGCCTCTCAACTCACCTGTGCCTACCATTGACCAAGGAGGAATCCCGACACTGTGTGAGACTCCTCTGTTGGTGAAAATTTCTCTGTCTCACTATTGCATGCAACATGTAAACATACAGAAAACTGGGTCGGGCACAGTAGCTTGTAATCCCAGCACTTTGGGACAGTTAAGGTCTGGAGTTCAAGACCAGCCTGGGCAACATGGTGAAACCCCGTAAAATACAAAAAAGTAACTAAGCATAGTTACGCATGCTTCTAACACCAGCTACTCAGGAGGCTGAGGCAGGAGAATCTCTTGAACCCAAGAGGCGGAGGTTGCCCGGACCCTGCCTCTGCACTCCACACTGGGCAGCAAGGGTGAAACTCCGTCTTAAGAAAAAGAAAACTGGACACATTCCTTGGGGATTGGACCCCCAGGCCTGGAAGGAACTTTAGAGATTCCTTTCATCACATAAATAAAAGAGGTGATATGCTGAAAAGTCCATCTTACAGAAAACAAGGGAGGCCGAGCGCTGGCTATGTGATGATGCTAAAATAGCTGGCTACAGGGGAGAGATTCAGTGACAAGAAATTGGATTTTTTCTGGGTTATATAAGGCCAAATAGCTGGTTTGGCTGGGTTCTGTTTTGTTTTTAAATACTGAATCAAATTTCCTTCATAATCAGATGCACTAATAGAATCAAGAGAAAAATGAACATTCCGTTTCAGAGAGCTTTGTGGTGGAGAGTTTATTCTGAAGACTACACACTCTAGGCATCTGGCTTAATGTTAAAAAGGAGGCGGGGGTTGGTCTTTTGAGTCCTGTGAAAGGAAGAACATAAAAACCAACATGAACTTCTGGCTTAGATTTTCTGGGAGAATTGTGCTGGCTAGTAATCCAATTCCCAAATGAGGACAAGGACACATCCATTTTCCCCATCTAATTTCCAGGGCCTGGAATTCATGTATCAGCTCTCAGGGGAGCTTTAGGGAGCTTCTCCCAGGCTGGTAGAAGGGAGCTCCGACCACTGCCTATCCCCAGCCCTGTGTACTCATATCAGTGACAGCATGGCTCTCTCAAGAGGCCTTGGCCACTATCCAGACTGATCTTTTCTGAAGCCTTTGTGCAAGCTGTAACCCTCCCTTCTCCATGACACCCAACAAACACCAAAGCATTCTTCAAGACACAACTTGAAAGCCACACCTGTGAGGTCCTCCCAGCTCCCCCAGAGACAACTTGCAACTCTTCCCTCATTTCAACTCTTCCCTATTGCATGGATAGGATTTTCACTAGAATACTTGTTTAGATGTATGTGTCCCCCAAAACAGTGTGGATGCCTCGAATAGTGGACATTGTCACACATCCCTGATCCCTCTCCTGCTCTCGCCTCTCATCCCCAGCATGAGCTTGTGGAAAATGTGTTCATTACAATCAGGACCGGAGTTTCCCTCCTCCACTTAGGTTCTGATCCTGGCTTTAGTACTAATGGTTACGTTACGTGCAAACAGAACAAGAAGCCATTTATTCTCTCTGAACATCAGTCTCTTCAACTACCCAAATAAGAATACCTAACTCCAAGAGTTGCTGTGAGGATGTGGAAGTCAGAAAGCTGCACCACTTCCAGGATTCCCACTTGCTAGGCTGGGGAAATGCAGTCAGCAGACAGCTCCCCACCTTGCTGCCTTGCCCAAGACCCTTCTAGGGCCCCCCACCATTTTGGCCAGAGGTGGGACACTTTGATGGGGCATAAATAAGCCAGAGTTTCCAGTGGGGTTAGCCAAGACTTTATTGGGTCTGCTTGGCCATTCAACTTCTTGACGCTAATCCTGAGTCCTCCTTACTTTCCTGGACGTTGTTCTTGATGCTAATCCTGAGTCCCCTTCCTTTCCTGGAGGTTGTTCTCTAGCATCTTGCACCCCAGTGTCTGTCTGAGCATCTGCTTCTACAGCAGTAACCTATGACAGAGGATGAAATAAACTAGTGTATTCAAAAGCACCTGGCATATGGTGGTTGCCAGGGGCCCGGGGGAGGGGGGTAGTGGGGAGTTGCTGTTTAATGGGTACGGAGTTTCTTTTTCTTTTTGAGATGGCGTCTCGCTCTGTCACCCAGGCTGGAGTGCAGTGGCACGGTCTCAGCTCACTGCAACCTCCACCTCCTGGGTTCAAGCTGTTCTGCCTCAGCCTCCCAAGTAGCTGGGATTACAGGTGCCCGCCACCACACCCAGCTAATTTTTGTATTTTCAGTAGAGACAGGGTTTCACCTTGTTGGCCAGTCTGGTCTCGAACTCCTGACCTCGTGATCTGCCTGCCTTGGCCTCCCAAAGTGCTGGGATTACAGGCATGAGCCACCACGTCTGGCCCCAAGTTTCATTTTTGCAAGGTGAAAAAGTTCTGGGTAAGAGGAGGGCTATGGTGGCACAACAATATGACTGTACTTAATGCCACAATGGTTCAAATGGGAAATCTTATTTCTTATGTTTTCCATAATTGTTTAAAACAATTTTTTAAAAGAATGATTGTAAAATAAAAACGAGTAGATAAATGCAGTGTTTCTAAACGACCTAGCATCATGCTTGGTACATAGTAAACATTCAGTAAAGACCAAGTGCTTTCCACCAGGGACCAAACCTGCGCACAGCAGAGCATGGGAATCCCACTGCGCAGAGCTGGCTGGAATGTGCATTTCTACTCAGCAAGCCACATTTTCTCTTTACTTTCTTTATTTTTATTTTATTTTTGAGATAGGGTCTCACTCTGTCGCCCAGGCTGGAGTGCAGTGGCGAGATCTCGGCTCACTGCAACCTCTGCCTTTGGGGTTCAAGCCATTCTCCTGCCTCAGCCTCCTGAGCAACTGGGACTATAGGCACTCACCACTACGCCCTGCTAATTTTTGTATTTTTAGTAGAGATGGGGTTTCACCATGTTGGCCAGGCTGGTCTTGAACTCCTAACCTCAGGTGATCCACCTGCCTTGGCCCCCCAAAGTGCTGGGATTACACACATGAACCACCTGGCCTGGCCCTCTCATTTATTTTTATTGCTAGATGAAGGATATGCTGTCACAGGAAAACAATTTCAAATTCCTGGTCATACCAGGAAGGTGCGGCACACTCCAGCAGCCACATTCTGGGGAGCTGCGCTGCTCTTCGTTGTTGTCGTTGTTATTAACAATCTCCTACCTCCATTGCTGGCCTATGGAAGTTTCTCTCAGTGCTGGAGATGTTCTGACTGTAAACTCTTAGCATTTTGTCCAGTCCCCTGATTTTGTAGACACTAAAGGGCTGGAGGGTTATGCAGTACCAACTCCTGGCTGAAGGGGGCACCATCCACATAGAAAAAAAATACAGTGCTAGCTAAGGTCACCTCCTGGAGTTGGGCAACTATTGGCCCTGCTAGGGACTTGCTCAAGGTCACATGGCTGGCAAAGCCAAGACTACCACTACACTCTCCACATTCTCTCCACTAAACCACACAGCTTCATCCCCGCTCCAACTCCTCAGATTCATGGTTCCCCGTCGGGTTCCCCAGTTCATCAATTCTGTAGGGTGAGCAAACTCCAAATGTGTTTTTTGAAACAATGAGAAAAATAACGAAGCCTCCTTTTCAGCAACTGCCTCCCTCAGAGACAGTGCCTGACCCCGGCAAAGATATTCGAATTCATCACAATTCAAACAACCAGTCATCGAAAACACAGCCGGGAAGCTCTGCCACCAGGCCAGTGCCACCTCGCAATTCACCTTGATGTCCCTCAGCCCCTGGAGGTCCCTGAGCGCCTGCCTCCCAGACTCAACATGCCCCCGCACATTTTGCAGGATTTTCTGCCGGGAGCCAGTCTCAATGGCTGAAAATGTCTTAGGTTGTCTAAGGGAGGAAGGCCCCGTGCAGGCATGACGTTGGATGCCACCCCCAAGGACAGGCTGCAGTGAGCGCCATGCTGAGCCGGCTGCCTCGCCACCACCTCTTGGCCTCGGGCCTCGCTCCCGCGCTCCATCCCACGTGGGCACCGTTCTTTGCACCATCTCTCCTTCCATCTAGTCCTGCTAGACTTTTCCTTCTGCCTTGTAATTTTACCTTCTCTTCCTTTCTCCCCCTCACAGTTCCAAAAGCAAAAACAGCAAATGTCGGAAAGAAAACAACATGGGCAAACTATGTTTGTCTAATTCTGTGTCTGCTTCGGAGGTAAATCTCCTATCTTAGGCTATGAGCTGCTTGCAGGACATTCCCCAGTCTTTCCTCGACTGAGGGCTTGGCACGGGACGTTTATGGTGTCCATTTCACCAGAGAGACCCTGAGAGCACAGAGGATACTGTACTTTGGGAATCAAAGCAGAAATGTCAATGAGGCTACTCATTAGTAAACTGAACTTTGCTGCCAAAGTTGCTATCCCTTTGTGTTTTTGTTTTTGTTTTGGTGGGTTTTGTTGTTGCTGTTGTTTATTGTTGTTGAGATGGAGTTTTGCTCTGTCACCCACACTGGCGTCCAGTGGCGCGATTTCGACTCGTTGCAACCTCTACCTCCCAGGTTCAAGCAATTCTCCTGCCTCAGCCTCCATAGTATTTGCGATTACAGGCACGTGCCACCATGCCTGGCTAATTTTTGTAGTTTTTTTTTGAGACGGAGTTTCGCTCTTGTTACCCAGGCTGGAGTGCAAT